TCGTATCACGGAGCCAAGACAAGAGGCAAAGAAGTGAGATCCCCGGACAGAGCAATTGAAAGCTTTCAAGCTTTTCCGCACTCCGGTGGGATTCCTGGGCTGGGGCCCTGTGGTAGCATACGAGAGAGGTCTGAGATACGGCAGGGCGCCGTAGCTTGCTTGGCATAATTTGGCCGGAACACTGCATATTCAATGGGCAAGGGATGGCCCAGTAGGGCCGAGGGCGTTGGCCGCAGCCCTCCCGTAGAAAATGCAATATTTGAACTCCATGCCATCGAATGCTGTGGTGGCCCAAAAATAAACAATTGGGGATCAAAAGTCAAGGGTTCGGTTCGGGGTGATTCAGAGTGTCCCGGCAGCTACCCGGTACAAGGGCACCCACACCTACTGGGGAAAATCCCTTCAAAAATCCCCAAGGTTACTTCTGTACAACATACAGCAGTACCTCTCTGCAGCAGCTACATTTACGGCCCACTAGATAGAACCTTCCAGGTATTTGTACAGCAAGCAACACACCTTTCAAAGTCGCTGACAAAATTTTCAACGGTTTTCCGTAGAACATGTCTCAGACATCGGAAAACTTCATCTGTTTCTTCTCTTCTGACAACTTATTATTTCTCTCATACTTTGATGTTCTTGTGCGACTCATTAGCCAAGCAGGCGGCCTACCTAGCTTACGGAATGTCCGGTTCCAAGTGCCGCTGAGCGAAAAAGAGACCGCTTTCTCTCTTCTCTCTCCTCTCTCTTTTTTCTTACACCGCCTCACGCTAAACACGAGCTTTGCGCTTTGTCACCTCAGCAACTCGTCCACTAGTCTAAATAATAGCCTAACGTATTACATATACCTACCTGCCTTTATAATATGCTTACATAGTACAGCATACAGCTGTATCTGTTCATCTTGCCCTATGCCCCGCACCCTGTCAAGTCGTCGGGTACACGACAATACGAGATCTTGGCAATCGAAAGGAGATCATATGCCGACGTCATGGGGTTCTTCGTGTTCTTCGCATGGACCAGACTATTGAAGCGGAGGGCTGTATCGCATACCAATACAGCATGGCGTACAATACCTAACTGGACTAGGTGGGTACCTCGGTATGCTGGCGCATCCATGCTAGACTCTAGACTGTCTATCAGAGCACTGTCGAACGTTCCATCGTCCTATTCTTCGATTTTTCCTTTGCTGCCATCAGACTAGGAGATGTGCTTTTTTGTCGTGAAGAGGTTGGTAAGTAAGTATCCTCTCACGTTTTTTTTCCCCGCGGGCTGGTCCATGTCATGACATGCCTTCTCGGGATCGTCGGCTAGTCCGGGAGTATGTGCATCCACAAGAACATCCCAACCTTAGGTTAAGTCAGTACCTATATAAGAGACAAGATGCCGTCGCGATGGAAGATGAAATTGCATTCCAGAATCAGCCAACAAACTCTATTCAAGATCAGCTCAGATACAGCTGTATAGACACAAACAATAGTATTATAACATCACCCCCGCATTACAACTCTCTTCAGCCGCAATAGCTCTTTCATAACCTTCCTCATACCCATCTCCGCTCTCTTCCTATTTCCAGACATTCAAGGAAGAACCGAGACCTGAGAGATACAGAATCTTCTGTAAAGGAAAAGAAAAAGAAGAGAGATATGCGTAACTTCATTGGAACCATCGCCGCATTCGTGCCCCTGGCCCTGGCCGCCCCCGGCTGCGGGTACCCGGCCAAGAGCTGCTCCAAGGTGTCGTTCAGCGATTTCTCCTGGAACGTCGAGGCCTTCACCTACCACGCGAGCTACATCTTCTCGACCCCGGCCCACCAGATCGCGTCGGGCACCGTCGCCTTCAACATCACGAACCCGGCCGTGCCCAACACCAAGGTCTCGTGCAGCGCCTACAGCTCGCAGCTGACCGACTTCTTCTACGGCGACTTCGTCTACACGTGCCAACAGCCTGGTGCCGGCTCCAAGATCACCGAGACCACCTTCGACTACAACGCCGTCACCGGCCATCTGGACGTCAACCAGACCTGGACCTGCAACGACCAGGACCCCAAGTACCCGTAAGACTGGCTCCGTTTTCCATCAAGTATTTTCCTTTGGATCAATGGAATGCTAACCTGTAATTCTTCAGCATCACCTTCCGCGCCCTGGGCTCGGCCAACCTGACCCTCCACTGCAAGGAGGACGATTACCAGAACTCCAACTGGACGATCGGCCAGATCTACTCCAGCCGGACCATCAACTGCGCGCCAGTCAATCTACCCATCCACCCCACAGAGAAGTCCGCCGTCGCTTAAATCGTTGGCGAGGCGGGACTTATTTAAAAGTGTGCGGGATTGACCAATTGATACGATATAAATCATCAGAAAGAGCGACGAAAGAAAGCAAGCGAGAGAGTGCCAGTTGGGCATGGTTTTTTTCATGACCTGAGACGAAACGACAATGATGGAAAACGGTTATTTAAGTATGGGTTACGACATCCTGTTTTTCTCCATGATGATTGATAAACTAGAAAGCACATTATTTGCTGTTAATTATTATTTAGTAATACTTTAGGTTGGATCTGTCTGTGGTTTGGGGAAGGTTGTCCAGGGCATATCGAGGAGGTAGAAGAACATTGGAATATCAGCAATGATGTATTCAATGTGAAGACAAAATATATACATTCATTCACTTGCACCAAGTCGTCTGTATTGGTGACTGTAAATTTCCGATGATCAACGACGAAGGCCCTTCCCAATCGTTGACATGCATCACCAGACCCCCTGAATGCTAGTTTCCCTAACCTAGGTTAGGTTTAATCTGAATATCCATAAACAACCCTCCTCAACCTCACCAACCCGTCCCCTCTCTCACCCTTTTGCTCTCCCTCCTGCCCACCATCCCAATCCGGATAAACGCATCCCCCATCCTCACCGACCTGTCCACTGAACCTCTGCACGTACGCCAAGCCCGCCTCCTCGTACGTCTCCCTCCAGGACCTGAGTGGCGACGAGACGACGACGATGGCGACGGAGTGCTCGCAAAATGCTCCTGCTCCGGCTTCGGGACCTCTTCCCACTTTACTGCTATCATTTCTTCTCCCGCCACGAAGGAGGTTGTAGTAGTAATAGTAACTGCCAAGATTAAGGTTAAGGTTAAGGCTAGTGATCCCATTACCGCTACTCTTCTCGTTATTGTTGTTGTTTTGAATCCAATCGAGGCGGTGATGGTCAAGGTACAGCAGTATCAGCACACCCAGGACCATGCACAGGAGGAGGGAAAAGGCGATGGCGGCGTCGAGGATGCGCTCAAGTCTAGTTTCTCTCTCTCTTTCTCTTCCTCTGGGTAAGGATGAATTGGGGTTTTTGAGGATGGAATGGAAGAAGTGAAAGAGGCGATTGGTGAGTTTGGTGCGCGTCCTCTGTTCTTCTTGTTGTGGGGAGGGAGAGGCGACACTAGCGGACGACGACGACGAATTCGTTCTCCTCCTCTGTATCGGCGTCACGGGCCGCGAGACGAAGCGCGAACTCTCTGTTCCGAAGCTCCTGTCCGTGGCGTTGTCGTCGTTGTTGTTGTCTTCGTCTGTGGGTACGTCGGGGATGGTGGTATCGTGGTCCGCGTTCCTGTAATCGTCGTCCTCCTCCTCGTCATCAAGAAGAAGAAAGGACGGTTCAGAAGAAGTAGAAGTGCGCGGAGGCAGGACTGCAGTGCTTGTCCCGTCCTCTGGTTCCCTGCTACTACTCTGATTCCCGTCGTCGCCGAACCGGAAAGGAGGAAGTGGTGATGTCGGTGTAGTCGAAGTTAAGGCGGTAATGTAATCATCATTTTGAGTGGCTGCTAACCTTACTACATTCTCGGTTCTGCCACCGGGAGTCGGGATTTCTGATCTTTCTCCCGCCATGGTTGCGTGGTTGCCTCGATTTGTTCCTTGGACGTCGCTCGTAACATCAAGGACGTGAAGCGACTCTACTCTCGACTCAGACTCAGATTGCGTTATCCCCCCAACACAATCCGGATGATCGCCATGACTGCCATCCGGGTAGAGGAAGCCACATCCTGCCCAAACGCATGTTTTTCTCACCAGGGGGTACGCGAAAACAGCATGTAAGTGTCTGGAGCTAACATCTCTTTATCCTATTCCTTTTTATCTTCGTGTCCTTGGTTTTACTACTTAAGGGGAAACAAAGAAGTAACCTAATGTAGAGAAAGGCGTTCATTGGAAGGATAGTAGCTAAAGTACCGAGCTCCCGAGCAAGTGGACTTGGATATCTGCCAAAAGGAGGACATGTAACACAGCATAGCATAGGAAAAAGGTCAAATATTGACAGCAAGTGTACCTAGCCTAACCAAATTGTCGTGTTCTGAAGGGGTCTATCAACATCTTGCTGAAGCCTGAGACTGTCGAGCTTTAATCGAGAATACGTCTTTGAGGTTAGGTTTTTTGTCCCCTCTATCCATCTATAAAGACGAAATACCCCCCCCCCCCCCCTCCCCCCCTCCATAATACAATCCAGGGGAAGAGCTTGTTACCGCAGTTGTCTGATCGAAATTGATCGAACGAGTGTAATCTCATTCTCCTCCTTGCTAGCAAAACCTACCCGGAAGGAAGCCATAAGCCCACATACCCACCCACCCACTTACAACCCACAGCAAAACATCAAGATTACAGAGTACCCTAGACTAGACCTCCCATCAAAACAGCCTGCCAGTCGTTCGCTTGAAAAACATTACGTCGGCAGCTCAACGTCGAACGTTTTATACAAGCATCCCATCAAAACACCACAGGAAACCATTAACCTAACCTAACCTTACCCTCTCGTTTTCCTTCCCTTCCCTTCCCTTCCCACTCACCAAAACACCAACATCTTGAAACCTAAAGCCCTAGGTTAAGCTCCCTCCCTTAGCCCGCATTAGCGCCCACCACTAAGTATGCAAGCAAGTCCGCCTACTTTCACAATATATAACATAACACCAACCCTCAACTTCAACAACGAATCAGAAATCACCTCTCGATTCCCATCCACTGCGGGGATAGCTCAGTTGGGAGAGCGTCAGACTGAAGCCTTATAAAACTTCTGTCACTAAAATCTGAAGGTCGTGCGTTCGATCCGCACTCACCGCATCTTTTTGTCCATTTTTATCTCTTCTGTTATTTGTTTCTTCCTCTTCCTTTTTTTCTCTTTCCTCCGAAGAAGCTGGAAGCACCAACGCGTTCGTCTTGCAGTCAGAGTAAGTGTTTTTTTTTTTTTTTTTTTGCCTTGCACGGATGGCCTTGCCGAAGTGGGTTCGCTGAGGGATGAGCAGGAGAGGTTCCTGTGGCTTATCCTCTTCATCCCCTTTCCTTCCATTGCGGTATGTCCACCCCCAGCAGACCTGCGCAAGGTCTTTGGCAGCTAGGTACATACGATAACGTTAGCAAGAAGGTCAAGAATGACCGTGCGGTGACGGCAACAAGCCGCATCTGCTTATATTATATACCAGAGAGGTCGATTGACAGCAACCACATATATACTTGGCCCGAATGGAGATCGCTATATGGCAACCAGTCTGCTTCAAGGTCAACCTATCGATATGTACCTGTGTCTGTTTTATGACACCAAGGACAGCAAGGAGGAAGGAAACACTGCTCCACTAGATCATGTCATTAATGGACGGTTTAAAGAAAGGGATGAAATAGAAGTATTAGGCCTTGATGTGTTGTTCTTTCAACTTCTGCCACTCAATTAATCTTCTGTGGGAGATGAAGTCTGGAAATTCGGCAGGGTTACCGTCGCCAGATCTTCTACACTATTAACGCATCGAGTTTAACCTCATGCACCGGGAGTCACCTCCCCAGGAAGTTCGACATCCTTCCTCGGCGGGCAGTTCTCCGGACCCGCATGTGTCCTTTCAGCTCGTTCCGTACTCTTGCACAGCCTCTTTCCAGGGCATCTTTGGTCATGACTTGCCTCCGTATCTCGTTATTTCGTACGCTCTAGATCGCCGCCAATGCGCGTTCATCTTAAAATGTCTCCTGGTCATCCAGGGCCTCCCCCTCGGCCGGGATCTCGAAGCCCTCCTCGGTGGAGTATAGTATCGCCTGGATCGACTTGACGAGGCCGTCCTCCTGCTTCTCGAGTTCCGGATCCTCCTCCACGGCCTGCTGAATCAGCAGCTCGATGTCTCGTAGCTTGCTGAAGTAGAAGTCGCGCTCGCGCTCGAGCCCCACGACGGTCTCCTTCAAGGTGGCATTCTCCTGCAAAAGGGCGGCTGATGCGGCACCACCGCCGCCGACTTTGGTACCCAGGCGAGGTCCTGTAGTAGGCGTAGTTCCCCTACGAACTGCGCCAGCGCTTCCAGCCGCGGCGCGGCCGCCGGCGGCACTAGGAGGCAGGGTGCTTCCTTTCCTCCGTCCGACGGCATCGTAGTCTCCACCTGGATAGTACTGATCCCAGAACTTCTTGGTCCACTGCAGAAACTCGAGATTGTCCTGCATCTTACACTTCGTGAGGGCTTCGACGGGGATGGGCTTGTCGATGCGGTGCTTGGTGAATGTGTCTAGAGATGGGAAATTGGCACAGGTACGGATACGGATAAGTGCCCATAAGAAGTGCCCGTAAGGCGTGTTCTGGGTTGGCAAACTTACTTTGTAGGACCTTGAAGTTCTGGACATAGGCATACTCGCTGTTGGCATTGAACTTGACCCGCGACATCGGCACGTCAAGGAAGATGCTGTCGAAGACCTGACACAAAGCAGCGCTAAATCAAAGGCGGGTTTCACGTTAGCCACATGTGTCGTGATGGTTTGCGCCGGCAGCAGCCTGAATAGTAAGAGACTGGAAAACATCGCAGGTTCGCTCGAGTTCGTTACAGATAGGTAGGTAGACGACGGATGGTAGACGGATAGAGCGTGTCGGATGTAGCGCGTTGTGTAGTTGTGCGGCCTCTGCGGTTCTCCGTTACCGTGGCGGGGGAGGGGTACATGAAAATAATAAATAATCAAAATTGCAGCCTACCCAGTACCACATTGCTCAACCTTGGTGATGTTGAGTTGCAGCAGGCTGTTCAGCCATGCGACAAGCTCTTGTCTATATCGGAGGAAAAAGCCCTGTATTAGTCTTCCCGGCCTGATGTGACGGTAGTCGGACGTTGCCCAGGGCTTCTGGCTCACATACCGTGACTCTCCCATGGTTGTGTTTTTGTTTTGTTTTCGCCCTCTCGAATTGAACGCCTAGCAGAACAATGTCTACTTTGCAGCTACGCCGGCTAAGTCTCTAAGGTACTGTGCTGGACTCGAAAACGCTCACGAAAGAAGATGATGCAGTGATGTCTTGAGTGAAGGGGAACCACGCGGTACAGTACGTTAAAGAATGTCAACAAGAGAATGCCGATATCAATTTTTGGGGGTTTATGTAGGGGGAAATGTGATCGAAGCCAACAGAGAATGGTTGCACCATTCAAGGCTTCTGTTGTCAGATGCCATTCAGTCAATCTCTTGGGTACCTACAGCTGTACAGCATACATTGGTATTAGTGATTCATTTGGGTACGCACCTCTTATATAAGAATAGGATCTTTGCAATTTGACCAATAGATTGCTCTATCAGTAGCTCCTACGCTCATTATTTGTCGGTTCCTACAGGGCAGTTAATTGCCTGTACTTTGCCAAGACACAAAGACTCACTGTCCTGCTAAGCATACTGATACATGTATAAATACAATCTGGTAGCCTACATCTTTAACAGTACTGTGTGCTGTAGTTAGCCTGTAGGCAGGGGAGGGTTGAGATAGACATCCTTATGTACGACGTGGTGTTGTATAAACTGATGTCATTTGAGCTTGCGTAAGACACAGATTGCATGTACGTCCTACATACTATCGAGGTTACAACACTCATATTAAGTGCTGATTGAGACAATTCGCTTCCTGGGGGCAGCTTTTACGCTCAATCCTGCAAATATACTTTGCAATTGCGTTCCGTCCTAAGTGCTTCTTTAGGCGGTGGTAGTTCGATCCCTCACACCTTGTTCGTGCGCTTCTCCGCCAAAGGCTTGCTTGCACAACGAATAATACAGCGTCATAAACTCAACGTAGTTAACCTTAGTGAAAGTGTCTCTCGGTACCCGAAAGTGCTTCGTACAGAAATATCCATCCTCCTAAGTTGAAACCCACTTGACCACAAGACACGCTGGCGCCTCCTCGTCGCCTCCTCTTGCGTCCTCGTCCTCTCAACCGACAGGGGTTCCTTCAGTACCTCTTCCCGTCCAACCTTCGCACTCGTTATCGCGAACGCCTCATCGGCTTCCACCTCGATACTCTGCCCTACTACAAACATCGGTTTCAGAGCCGGATATATAGATACATCGTCGAACGCCAGCGTCGCCGCCTAGAGGAGTCCCGGCTTGTAGACCGGGCTCGGCGGCTGCTCCTTGGCCGGCCTGCCTCGAAGAGCATAAAGCATGGGACGTCTGCAAGCCGTACCGGGAACATGGCCTCGATTACAGGGTATGGCCCTGGCGGCAGTTATGCCACCGAAGGCGGCCGGGAAAGGGGCGCCAGGAGGAGGAAGCTCGCTGCTATGGCCGGTAGCGTTTACAGGGCTGGCGCTGTGGCCATGAATGAGATCAAGGAGTCGTACAACCAGACGAGGTCGGGTGACATGGAGACACCCGAGATGTCCAACATCAGTATACCGGGCTCATTCCCTGACGTACTAATCGCCACCAACGGTAGTGAGCAGATGGTGCTGTTCCCGTCGTATGCTAAGCGGCATGCCAAGCAGAGGAATCGCCACCTGCCGAGCTGCCCAAGTGCGGCCATAGACGACCAAGAATACTGGCGGGATGAGTGGGCTCGCCATGAAGACGAGAAGGCCGTGATGGACGTAGACGTGCGTGGTTGGATTTACAACCCTCACAAGGGCCCTATGACGCGCCGCAACCGAGTTTTGATAGGGCTTGCAAGACAACTGAGTGGGATCCCCGCCCCCAGATTACAACAAGGCGACAACGCGTCCGGGAGCGATGCTTCCTTCTGCGCAAAGCAGCTGAGCGAGGAAGAGCGTGAGAGAGAAAGCATCGCCCGCGAAGCCCGCGAGATCGAGCGCAGAGGGCAAGCGGAAGAGCTGGCTGCACAGCAGGGTGGATACAGTGAGCGGCCGAGGGATGAGGATTCCGAGGAAGAAGGCGACACACCTAGACACAGCTCGAATGGCAGCGGAAGTGGGAGCGGGAGCGGGAGTGGAAGCGGGAGCGGGACTGTCCAGGTAGCACCGCCGTCGCCGGCTTTACCTGCAAAGGCGGGTGCGTCCAAAGCTTCTTCAACATTGACCGATGCAGAACTAGCGGTTGCGAACGCGAATCTGATGGCCCGAATTGGGCCTTTCATGACCACCCCCTTGGTACAGCTACCCATCACGCTGTTCTTCTTCAATGACGAGCAGTCCCAGTCACGTACGGTAATGACAGACGATTCCGGCCATTTTGTTATACGAGCAGCCCTTGACTTTGTTCCTACCCATGTCCGTGTCCTGGCAGGCCAGGATCTCTCCTGCACGGAACCCGTTCAGATCATCGAACCGCGCGGTGTCAGCCTGATCAGTGACATCGACGACACTGTGAAACGCTCCAACATCTCGCTCGGGGCCAAGGAGATATTTCGCAACACTTTCGTCCGTGACCTCGGAGAATTGACCATTGATGGCGTTAAGGACTGGTACAATACGTTGCATGATATGGGCGTGAGGATACATTATTGCTCGAATAGCCCCTGGCAGCTCTATCCCGTCATTGCTACCTACTTCAAGCTCGCAGGCCTTCCGCCGGGCTCCCTGCATTTGAAGCGGTACACTGGTATGCTGCAAGGGATATTCGAGCCCGTAGCCGAGCGGAAGAAAGGCACCCTGGAGAAGATTATGAACGATTTTCCAGAGAGGAAATTTCTCCTGGTTGGAGATAGCGGCGAGGCCGACTTGGAGGTATACACCGAACTCGCTGTGGCCAACCCTGGACGGATCAAAGCCATTTTCATTCGAGATGTTACCACACCGGAACAGGCCGGCTACTTTGATTCGGCATACAACACGAGGGAAGCTCGCAATTTTTCGACATCCTCACGAAGTACACGCCAGGACACTCAAGTCATA